CAAACACTTAGGCGAAACGGATTCGCAGCTAAGCCTCCGAGTGAGAGGCTTGCTCGTCACTTGGTAGGATTTTCAAACACTTAGGCGAGTACTGGACTTCAGCTAAGCCCCCGAGTGGGAGGTTTGCTCTCCACTCGGTAGGATTTTCAAATACTTAGGCGAAACGGATTTGCAGCTAAGCCCCCGAGTGGGAGGTTTGCTCTCCACTCGGTAGGATTTTCAAATACTTAGGCGAAACGGATTCGCAGTTAAGCCCCCGAGTGAGAGGCTTGCTCGTCACTCGGTAGGAATTTTTTTTACAAACTTAGGCGAAACGGGTTCGCAGCTAAGCCACCCACTGGGGGATTTCTCACATAAACAAAAGCAACAACAATCGATGGGAAAATTATAACACTTTTGTCTTTGATAAACAAACTACAGGAGTACTTTTTATTACATCTCACCCGAGTGAGTACTTAAGTGTAAAAGGGGCGGAGCAGCTCCGTGTTCCAAGCTCGTGGCTCATCAATCTGGCGACCGATATTGTAAAGATGGTATGCTCCATTGTGGAGAACTTTGGTGACGATGAAGGGGCCTTCCCAAGTAGGGGCAAGTTTATGTGGCTTCTGTTGATCCACTCGGAGGACCAAGTCTCCTTCTTGGAAGGCTCGACTCTTCACGTTTCTGGCATGGAATCGACGCAAGTCTTGCTGATAGATGGTCGATCAGATCATGGCCATCTCTCTTTCTTCTTCTAGAAGGTCGACTGCGTCCTGCCGGGCTTATTCTGCTTCATCTTCAGAGTAGAGCTCGACTCGGGGTGCATTGTGAAGCAGGTCACTCAGCAGAACTACTTCAGCTCCATAGACCAGAAAGAATGGAGTTCGCCCAGTCGACCTATTAGGAGTAGTCCTCAATCCCCAAAGAACTGATGGAAGTTTGTCGACCCATGCGCCTGTTGCGTGTTTGAGATCACGCATCAACCGGGGTTTCAGTCCTTTGAGAATTAGGCGAGTACTTAGGCGAGTACTTAGGCGAGTACTTAGGCGAGTCTGACTCCTCCCCCTCTCCCAATTCATCCTCCTTCCTTAGGGAAGGAGGCACTTTCTCACTTGGACCTTTTTGGCCCAAATTGCCTTCCACCTCTTGGCATTTTTAAGCCCGTTGATATTTAAATTAAATATAAAATGTTCTAAATACTTTCAAATCATTATATATATAGCATCTCCGCAAACATTTTCCACCTATATAATATATATCGGCAAAACCCGGTATTACCCGATACTCTCTGAAACCCTTCCGGTGTTCCCCGAAACGCTTCCGGATCATCTTGGAACTATTCTAAATATTCATGAAATAATTCGACAAATATATTCTCATGACTCCCATCCTACTAACACTCAGCAGATCGTGATTGTCTTAAGCTTGTGAGCCCATAGGTTTGTTAACTCATAGACATGAATGAACCCGTTCGTGCAGTGAACACACGAATGATATTCGATTGAACCTTTGGTTATCATGTGATGTTCCCTTTGCTCCGCGATACTTCACAGAACCCGAGATGCATCAGTATTCTCCTGAGTCATCACCATGCTCACTATACCTAAATCATCATTACTATTTTTGTTCTTCTTTCTCGTTATTGTGTTCCAGCATCCCCGTGACAAAGTCACCTGTGTCTGGCCAGACGATGATTGACGCCGTCACACCGAGAGGGCCCTAAGAATATCTCTCCATAATATGAGCAACAAATCCCACTCTCGAGCTATCTGACCACTTGTCAAACTTTCCGATGAACCTGTAAGTTGTCATCACGATTACCGTGTTATAGGTGACGTTTGAGCAGTCCCAAAGCCCACCATACAGTAAGAAGTGACCATGATACTCTCATGTTCTAAGGAGCAAAATCACACGTTAACACTCTGTGTTATTACAATTGAATACATACGATATTATCTCAATTCATAACAAACAAGTTTGGGTTGATTCAATATGATCGTTCCTCCGACGTCATAATCTCAATATTGTTTTAGGACTATCGTTACACTTAATGATATTCTAAAATCTAGAAAACGTGATCACCAACAACACTTGAGCTAGTCTTAGAGGCGAGACTAGGAACCTTTATTTTATCTGTTTATCATTTCACACATGCACATGAATTTTCCACTGAATCGCATATTCCAGGATCGTAGCAGTTATAGCATGAAATATAAACACTTAATTATGAATATGGAAATATAATAATACAATATTAGTGCCTCTAGGACATATTTCCAACAGTGTTTCTTGCCACTATTCTGAATTTCTCTTCTTCTTGGGTATAGGCGAGCATACACATGTTTTTAGTATTATTTGTTACAATATTTGCTTCAGAAAATAACATATTTAAAAATGATACATTGAAGTTTACTTTTGTTTTCAAGTTATCATTGTCCATGTCACATACGATTACTTTGTGTTGCAAATTTTTGTAAGTTTTGACTTTTGATATGGTACAAATGTTGTTACAAGATGCCACAAGGTGCTGGAGTTCGTCAAATGGCGCCTCCATATGGTCACCCAACTACCGACGATGAAAGCAAGCTATAAAACCAGCCAGCTCCGCCTATGGAATTAACGGCCACCAGTACCATTGCACTCAAGTTTCTATGCTTGCACCTTAAGTTATCTCTCCTCTCATAGCTTGCAGTCATGGCTAGGCGAAGAGCCGATGTCGTATACATGGTGTAGGAGTCATTGCTCGACTTAGATGAAATACATAGCAAAGCAATCAATTGTAGCAAAACTCATACTATCTCCACTCCTCTTTGTCATTGCGATTGATCCTCTCCAACAAGTTCTTAATGTGGCCACTCGCCACAGGATAATCCACAAAATCAAGGGGCATGGCACTTGCTTTCAAACATCTATCTATGCGGACGATGCGACTGTTTTTTTTGTCAAGCATTTAAAGGAGTATGTTTTGAACCTTGCAACCATCTTGGTTTGCTTTGGTCAGGCCATGGGGTTATGCATACAAGAGCTTTGTCATCCCTATAAGATGCGGGAACTTGAAGTTGGACGAGATCTTCCATGTGGCCTTTCTCTCTCATTGCGACAACTCAAGAGGGTCGATTGCATATACCTTCATGATAAGGTCGCGGGCAAACTTGCCCCTTTGGAGGGAGGGAATATCACCTTGAAGGGTCGGTGCATTCTTGTCAAACCGGTGCTCACCTCGCAAGTGGTCTACCACGCGACCTCCCTTGTCATTCCTCTGGTCCGGGAAGAACAAGATGACTGACGCGAAATGCAAGGTCAACTTGGAGACGGTGTGCCGCCCTAAGGATCATGGGGGCATCGATGTGCTTCATCTTGGCAAATTTATCTGAGCTCTAAGGTTATGATGGCCTTGGTATGAGTGGAATGATCTGCCATGAATGTGGGTGGGGATGGGAAATCCTTGTGATGAGGACGACATGGACTTCTTCTATGCTTCAACCTCCATCACTATTGGCAATGGTGGTATTACACCCTTTTGGGACTCCCCTTGGCTACTTGGAAAGTGACTTAAATAATTGCTCCATTCATCTTTGAGTGCTCCATGAGGAACAATTGGAAGGTGCACGAAACCTTGCGTGAGGGCATGTGGATTTCCAAAGTCAAAATATCAGCCACCTTCACCTTAGACCATATCCATCAATTCATCCGACTTTGGACCTTGCTTTGGGACGTCCACCTCCACGAGGATTTGGAGGATTCTGTCACTTGGAAGCACACAACAAATGGTGCATATACCACAGCCTCAGGATATAAGGCACAGTTCTTGGGGATTGTTCGCACGGGGATGAATA